CCCCTCTCACCTCTGGCTCCCGATGACCCGGGGCAGACGCTGCAGTGTTCCCACGTCGGCTGCCAGACCGATGTCCACCTCCTGGGGGCAGTAATTTGATTTTCATTTACCATTAAGGTTGTCTCCCTGCCCAGACTGGTAGGGGGTCGTGCCCCATGCCACAACTCACAGGCTCCTCCAAACACCCCATCCCATTCCCATCAGCATACTTTGGTGGGCAGGGTCCAACAGTCTAGAATAGAGCCCACCCTCCAACTCCCTCTGCCCTTTCAGTTCTTTAGGGTCATCCAAGCCTATCTTCCGAGGGAAGCCCTCTTAACACTGCCCATCTGACCCTGTCCTGCGTCCCTGGGCTCCGTGCTGCCTCCCACCCTCCCCAGCACTGACGCCATCAGCAGCCTTAGCCTCGAGCAGGTGCCAGACTCATCCCATGCCCTACCTCTGTTCCGTCCTGACCTCACCTGGACGGCCTACCCTCGTTACCTCCCATAAGCAAGTCTTACTTCTTCCCTGTGGATCTTTTTTTTCATTTTTATTATATGCTAGATGAAGGTTTACAGAGCAAACTACTTTCTCATTAAACAATTAATACATTGGTTGCCAACCCCACAAGATGTCAATATTCTCCCCTTGTCAACTTTGGGTTCCTCACTACCAGCTTTCCTATCCCCTCCTGCCTTCTCCTCCTTGCCCCTGGGCTAGTGTATCCATTTAGTCTTGTTTTGTTTTATTGGCCTGTCTAATCTTTGGCTGAAGGGTGAACCTCAGGAGTGACTTCATGACTGAGCTGAAAGTGTGTCCAGGGACCATACTCTCGGGGTTTCTCCAGACTCTGTCAGACCAGTCAGTCTGGTCTTTTTTTCTTTTCCTGAGTTAGAATTTTGTTCTACATTTTTCTCCAGCTCTGTCTGTGGCCCTCTATTATGATCACTGTCTGAGCAGCTCGTGGTGGTAGCCGGGCGTCATCTAGCTGTGCTGGATTTAGTCTGGTGGAGGCTGTGGTAGTTGTGGTCCATTAATCCTTTGGACTAATCTTTCATTTGTGTCTTTGGTTTTCTTCATTCTCCCTTGCTCCAGATGGGGTGCGCCCAGTGGAATATCTTAGATGGCCGCTCACAAGCTTTTAAGATCCCAGACACTACTCACCAAAGCAGGATGTAGAACATTTTTTTAATAAACAATGTTAAGCCAATTGAGCTAGATATTCCCCTAGACCAGGGTCCCCAGCCCTTAGCCCAGTAATTTGGTCCCTCAGGGAGTTTAGATGTGTCTATGGAGCTTCTATGACCTTGCCTTGGACAAGTTGTGCTGGCTTCTCCAGTATTGTGTACTGTCTTACTCTTCACCAAAGCTACCACTTATCTATTGTCTAGTTAGTGTTTTTCCCTCCCACCCCTCCCCTCCCTTGTAACCCTCAAAGATTGTTTCTTTTTGTGTGTGAACCTTTATGTGAGTTTTTATAGTAGGGGTCTCATACAATATTTGTCCTTTTGTGATTGAATTATTTCACTCAGCATGATGCCCTCCAGATTGACCCACACTGTGAGATGCTTTGCAGATTCATCATTGTTCTTTAATCACTGGATAGCATTCCATTGTATGGACCATAGTTTGTTTATTCATTCATCTGTTGATGGCACCTAGGTTGTTTCCATCTTTTTGCTATTGTGAACAATGGGGCAATGAACATGTGTGTGCATACGTCTATTCGTACAATAGCTCTTATTCTCTAGCCAAGCCTTACTTTTTAAGGTTCAGTTTTGACTAAGTCTTCCCAGAAGCGCTTGGGCTCCTCCAGGCCCTCGTGGCCCGCTCACTGCCCAGTTTAAGGGGGAAGTAAGGACGGGGGAGGCACATGGGGAGCAGAAGTTCGGGGGAGGATGGCTCACCTTCACCTGGAAGAACGCGTCCTGGGCACAGTAGCGGATGTCACAGGCGGTGATGAGGTCCACGCCTGGGAGGGAGAGGCCGGGACACCCAACAACCACAAGGTCAACCCCTCCATCTGGGAACGTGGGCTTGCATGTGGGGATCAAGTCTAAGCAGCCACACGTCTGAGGCTGTAGGCCACTGGCTGAGGCGGAAGGACAGCAGCCAAAAGGGGCCCAGCCAGAGTGAACGCCCTGGGTGGGGCTGCAGACTCACCTGCACCAATGCAGCCCCCATGGATGGCTGCGATGACGGGCTTGGGGCACTGGAAGAAAAGGGAGCAGTGGGCTCAGGGCCGGCTAGGAGAGGTGGGCAGTGGGGACGCCCTCCCAGCCCCAGAGTCACCTTCTCGATGACACTGAAGGTTTCCTGGTGTTTGCTGAGGAGGTTACGGATGTACCAGCTTATGCGGGCTACATCCTCTCCCTGGGGCTGAAGGAGCACTGAAGCCATGTCCATGAGGTCAATACCTGGTGGGGGTGGGGTGGGGCGAGAGGGTTCACCCAGCCTCCCAGGCCCCACTCATTGCCCCAACCAGGGGTCAGAGCCTGGGCATAGCAGGTTAGGACCCCCGAACCACTGTAGTGGACAGACAACCAAATGAATAAGAAAATATATTTTGTCAGGTAGTGCAAAGCGTGAAGAGAAATTAAAGGAAGGAAGAAAAGATGATGTGTGTGTGTGCGTGTGTGTGCACGTGTCTGCGTGCAACAAGGGCTATTGAAGGGCTGTTGCGGGGTTAAATGAGGAGCTCAGGGATCCTCTCACTGAGGAGGTGACATCTGAGTAAAAACCTGAAAGAGGGGAGGGAGGAAGCCATGCGGATGACTGGGTGAGAGAGCTCCAAGCATTGGGCACAGCCAGTGCAAAGGCCCTGCAGTAGCAATGTGACTGGTCTGTCTGAAGACCATTGAAAAGGCCAGAGCAGGGGAGCCACGGGGGACAGTGGGGAGAGCTAAGGTCAGAGAGGTGACAGGAGCAGATTGCAGGGGTCTGTGGGCCATGGGGAGGACTCTGGCTTTTACCGTGTGTGAGATGGAGCCACGGGAGGGTTCTGGACCGAAAAACCCTTCACTTTCTTCCTTCCACAGTTAATCACTCTCACCCCTTTGCCCGGCCCGTTAACAGTGCTGTCTGTCAGACCCTGAAAAACTGTCCATACCTTGGCCACAAAACTGACTCAGAGGCTTCACTGCCTCCACTTCTTGCTGAAACAAGCAAGACCGTAGGAGCATTGGCACAAGTGAAATTCATGAAGGCAGGACTCCCCCTGCGTAACCTGGGCCGGGCAACTTCATTTTCTGAGCCTGGGGTGTCTTCTCTGGAAAACGAGAATAAAATCCTCCAAAGAGTTGACAGGGTGGCAAGGATTCAAGGAGCAGAGCCCCCAGAGGTGCTTCACACAAGGCCTGGCATGCAGCGGCACCACAACAGTTACTATTAATATAGAATCCACTTCGGTAGACAGGAAAGAAACTGAAGACTCAGACTAATTAGTCTATATGACTAATAGTCTACATGAACCATGGCTTCATCTACCCTGAGACCAGAAGAACTAGATGGTGCCCAGCCACCACTACTGACCGTTCTGTGCAGGGCCACAATAGATGGATCCTGACAGCACAGGAGAAAAATGTGGAACAGTACCTCAAATTCTTAAAAAGCCCAGACTTACTGGACTGGTTGAAACTTGAGGACTCACAGAGACTATTACCCTGAGAAACTCTTTAAACCTTGAACCAAAACTAGCCCGAGGTCACCTTTTATCTAAATAACGGACTGCCTTCTAAAATAAAGAATATAACCCACGAGTACTGAGCTCCTTTAAAAAATCATCTATATGAGACCAAACGGAGAACAATCACTCTAATGCAAAGATGAATGGGCTAAGGGGGCAGGTAAACTAGATTACTGGAAACAGAACAACCAGAACAGAAATAATGAGAATGTTGACACAGTGTGAAAAATGTAACCAATGTCACTGAATAATTTGTGTAGGAATTGTTAAAAAGGAAGCTAATCTGCTGTGTAAACTCTCAACAAAAACACAATAAAATATTATTTGAAAAGAAAGAAAGGAGTGAATGTGACATTTCACTTCTGGTAGGGTCCTGAAGGCCCAACCCTCCTGCAGGTAACAACCATGACCTCTGGCTGGCAAGATACAGAAAAGCCACTACTGAAGGCACTGGGCCGATTCTGGGGGGAGTCAGCACTTAGAAGAAGGGACTAGCACCAAGTGACTTACCTGCTTCTAAAGCTTTTAGCCTGAGGGTAGGACAAAGTAGTGCCTGAAGAACCAACGACTAGAGTTGGGGTGTATAGCTGCTGGAAGTGAGGGGGAAATCCTAACAGAAGATAGCCAGAGAGGGTAGCCCCAAATTCTATGCATAAACTCTGCCCATATCTCTGGCTGACTCATGAACTGTGTAGGCAGGCCAGCAAAAGATAGAAAAACTGAACTGAGATTTGAACTGTTGCCAAAGATACAGACTTTACACTTATTTCCAACCAAACCACCAAAGAGGAAATCCAACACTCTTCGGAGTTATATAACACAATCCAGAGTCTGCACATCGTATTCCCAAAATGAAGGGGATGCAGTCTTACCACTTTTCTATCACTCTCTATTAGTAGACAATATTTGAGTTTTCCTGCTCTGACAGGTTTCTGCCTCACACAAGTCCCAACTCTCACAGGTTTTACTCTAGAACACACTTTACAGACAGACACTGAGACTCAGAGGTTAAGTGCCTTGTCCAAGGTCACAGATCCAGGATGGAAACCCAGACATCTGAGCCCATGACCCAGTCATGTTCTGTTGGGCTAAATTCTGTATTTGAATGTTTTAAATTAGGCCTTTTATAAAAAAGATAAAAGTGGCAGTAAGAAGCTGCTTACAACCCTACTTAAGAAGCATCACTCTATTTCCAGGAGCGAGAGAGACTGGTGGGGGTGGCTGTGAAAACTACACTTGGTACCTGAAGTGAACATTTTTCCTTCACCAGAAATCACCACAGCGCGACAGCTGGCATCTTCTGATATCTTGTTGAAGCACTCTACCATCTCCCTGTGGAGGAGCAGTGAGAAAAAGGCTGTGTCTGGGGCAGGAATCCTCTACCCTCACGTTCATCTACCCCCTGCACTCCACCCTACCCAGTCCCTCAGCCTCTGCCTCCTCCTGCATGCAGGCCTCCAGGATACACAGGTCAGACCTCCAGAAGGCCTTGTTCATGGCATTCCTCTTCTCGGGCCGGTTTATCTGCACGTGCAGAATGTGTTCTGGGCCGGATGTCACTCGAAGAGACTGATAGCTGTGGCCCGGTGCCTCAACGGGGGCTGCTTTGGAGGCTTCATCTTGCACAGTGGAGCTCATGGGGGGAAGGCTAAATGTGAGTCCCGGCTGAGTGGGGGCCAAAAATCCTGGCAAGAGAAAGGAAGAGTGATGACCCCAGACAAAGACCTTCCGGTCCCTCCAGACTGAGAGACACAGACTCTTCAATGACCCAGACTGGGGACACAGCACCTTCAGGAGCAGAGGGTACACTCCTCAGCGACCCCAGATTGGGGAGGACTCGTTTAGGACGATTCAGCCTTCAAGATTAGGGGTGCCTCCCTCAGCAGTGGCCTCGGTTTGAGAACCACCTCAGATCCTTGAACTTGGACTAATCCCGGATTAGGAACACTGCGCCGTCAGCGAACCCAGATTGGAACACAGGCTCCCATAACTGGGGTGACATTCTGATCGGAGCGCATGGACCCCTGACCCCGTGACCTCGTACAGGCGCTTTGTGTCCTATGGTCGCCATGGCAGCACGACATCCGCGCCGAGCCCCCAGAAGTCAAGGGATCACTCACGCCGCGTCACCAGCCCCCGGAGTCCGCGAGAAGCCGCCGCCGGCACCGCCATTCGGACAGAGGATCGACTGTAAGCATCTGGAGGACGCCAAAGGGGCGGTCCCGGCAGGCCGCCATCTTGAGTGAGGGCATCGAAGCCCCATCGAAGCCACATCCGGCCCAGCGAGCAAGCCTTTTGTCCCGCCATCTCTATTAAGGGCAACCGGAAATTGCTGAGTTACAGAGAGGCGTGGAAATGGAAACTTTTAACCGGTAAGTTATAAAAAGTCTTAGGAGTGTGACCTTTAGCCTAGTTAAGTCCACTTCTAGAAACCTGGCCTAAGAAAATAAGTCACACTATTGTTGGATAAAGTTTCTGTATAAAGGTCATCACAGCGCTGTTCTGTAATGGTGGAGAAGGTGGACACGGCCGTAATGTCCCGGGAGGGCATTAACTGCAGAGCTGCAAGCTTGTAATTATGTTGTATTCTGTGTTAATTAAAAAGAAAACAAAAGTTAACATCCAGCTCTGCGAGCTTCCCCACGTCAAGGGATAAAAGTAGAGACGGGCAGCGTCGAACGCTGACTGTGTACCATGCTGAGCTCACTGCGTGTACCTAATCTGAATTTCCACACCACCACGAAGGGTATTGTTTTCCAGTGCACACTGAGGAAATGGGATCAGAGGGAAGTCAGTAGTTCATGGTTTCTGGGAGTGCAGTTCAAAACCACCAGCCGCTCCTTGGAAACCCTGTGGGGCAGGTCTACTCAGAATGGACTCTGGAGAAAGGGTTTCTAACTTCTACACAGAAAAGCTTTAAAAACTCCACTCTCAGTGTTGCCAAGGACTGGGAAAGGGCTTTGGACACTTCCCACCTGCAGCAGCTGTTTGAGTGCACTGACCCTCAGTCAATGTTTACTTAACTGAACAGCAAACTCTCAGGCCAGAGCAACATCCAGAGTCCAGCTCTGCCCGTCAGACTTCCTCCCTGGCACAGACCCCAGCTGCCCCAGTTCCCTCTGCACCTTGTGATGTTATCTAGGCACCCCGGGGCCCTTACAACAGGTCTGCTTTGAGATTGGCTCTGGTCCCTGGGCCTGTGAGGAATTTTTCCCAGCAGATGTACTTGAAGGAGCGTGAGGAACTCTGCTGTCAGCAGAAACAAAGACCTCGTGACTGGGCTGGTTGAGTGGGACCATCGTCCTGCTTGTCTTTGGGCAGGGAGGAATCACACTGTGCCAGTAGATTCAAGACCACGGAGAGTTACAATCATTGTCTAACCCCCAACAGTGGGGTCAGGCAAAGCCTTAGGGGCATCGGGATTTTGGGACTCCTCGTGGCAACATGTAGCCATGAACTGTGGGCAGAGGGAGGGCACACATACCCACAGCCCCTCACACAGCCTCCTGCATGAGTATGGAGAGCAACGGCTGATGCTTTTCTCCATCATGGCAAATTGTATTTTCCAGCAATGATCACATCAATATCTCCATCCTAGATGCTCTACTGTCATATGACATTGTCACTCTGCCAGTGGAGTGGAGTTTCTTTGTTTTACCACCCCTTCCTATCTGGGCAGGGCCTAAGACGGCTTGGAGAACTAGAACACAGAGGCATTTCTGGATGTAGCCCTTACTTGGCCTGAAGCTTAACCTCTGTGTCTGAGGGCGGCCTGCCCAGAAGTAAGGAATCCAGCTACTCAGGAACTGCAGTGCTGTCAGAATTCCGAGTCACATGGAGAGGTGCTCTGATCAACATCCTGGCTGAGCTCCCAGCCCATAGCCAGCCACATGAGTGAGCCATCATATGGCTCATGCGAGTGAGAACTTTCTCCAGTTGGAGGCGGAAGGAAAACGTGGCAGAAGGAGAGATCAGAGATTTCAAGGGTGAGAAGGATTTAACATGCCTTTGCTGGTTCTGTGATGCAGGGGTTCAAGTACAAAGGCCAGAGAGGCCTCTAGCAGCTAAGGACAACTCCTTGCTGACAGCCAGCCAGGAAATGGGATCTCAGTCATACAACTGCAAGGAACAGAATTCTGCCAACAACCTGAATGAGCTTGGAAGAGATTCTTTCTAATGCATTCCAGTAAGAGCCCAGACAGCCAACACCTAGGTTTTGACCCTGTGAAACCTAGACAGAGAAACCAGCCAAGCCACCCCAGACTTCTGACCTATGGAACTGTGAGATAATAAATCTGTATTATTTCAAGCTGCTACCTTTGTAGTTATTTGTTATGGCAGCAATAAAAAAGCAATGCACACGGTGGAGGCTATACCCATAGGCATAATGCAGGGGTGGGAGTGGTTCTGATAGGAACAGACAGAGCTCCCTGGGGGTCTGTTAGGAGCATAACAGCCTCTCCCTTACCCAGTTACAGTGGCCTGCAAAGCTACTGAAAATTGCTACAGAAGGCGCCCTGCAGTGGAAGGCTGCTCCCATAGTCTGCTCCCATAGTCAGCACTCGACCTGCCTCCCTGCACACTCCGTAGCTCAGGCCTCTGAAACCAACGGGACAGACCTCCCTGAAGGTCAGTTTGGATCAGCCTGTCTCCACTTCTAGTACTGAGAATTACCATATTTTTACGCAAATAATGCACAACTTCTACGTTTGTTTGCCAGCTGCACCCTCCCCCCATAAGATATTTTCATAAGCACTGCTATGCAGTTTTTTTTACATGTTGCTTTTAAAAAAACTAGCACAGTGTGCTGATGAAAATACCTTGTGGGGGAGGGAGCAGTTGGCAAACAGAAGGCGCACGTTATTTGTGTATAAATACGATATTGAGTGAGGCTGCTGTTTGCTAGGAAACAAGTGTCTTGAACGGAGGCTGCCCTCACAGCCAACAATCTACTGGGGTGGGGGCGGGGGGGACTCTGATAGCAACAAGGCAGACCTCCCTAGGGGCCCAATCGGACCATGACAGCCCTTCCCCACCCAGTCACTGGCATCTGCCAGGCTGCTGTGAATTGCTGCAGAAGGCAGCCTGTAGTGAATTCTGCTTTTATGGTCAGCACTTTACCTGCCTCCCTGAGCACTCCATAGCTCAGGCCTCTGATATCAACAGGACAGACCTCCCTGGGGGTCATTTCGGATCTGTCTGCTCCCCTCCTATTGGTGCTGAGGACTGCTGACTGAGGTTGCTGCATGCTAGGAAACAGACATCTTGAGTTGAGGCTACAACCAATACCCACATACTACTGGGGATGGGGAAGCTCTGATAGCAACAAGGCAGACCTACCTAGGGTTCCATTTGGAGAATGACAGCCCCTCTCCCACCAGGTAATTGTTGGCTGCTGGACTGATATGAACTCCTACAGAAGGTTCCTTACAATGGAGCCAGGTCCCCTAAGTGAAGACTGCTTCCCCATTCACCACAGGACCACTGGACTCTGAAACCAACAAGACAGATCTTTTGGAGGTCCTTCTGGGGAATGCCAGTCCCTCCTTCTCCTGAAATGGAGGAAAGTCTCCCTGTGCTTCCCGTGAATACCAGCTCAATATGAGCAGCTCCCACAGTGCACGGAAGGAAGCCTTGGGAAAAAGTGGAGGGCAACACCCAACCCTGAAGGGGGCTTGCTGGGTGTGAAATTTCTGACTAAAAATGTGATTACAGAAACAGAGAAGGGAAACCAAAAATACTAAACCCATTGCTGTTGAGTCGATTCCAACGCATCACAACCCTATAGGACAGAGTAGAACTGCCCCATAAGGTTTCCAAGGAGCAGCTGGTGGATTCGAACTGCTGATGTCTTGGTTAGCAGCTGAGCTCTTAACCACTACACCACCAGGGCTCCTCAGAGAAGGCACCCATAAGAAAACCACCCATTGCCATCAAGTTGATTCCGACTGATAGTGACTCTATAGGACAGAGAAGAACTGCCCTATAAGGTTTCCAAGGAGCTGCTGGTGGATTCAAACTGCTGACCTCTTGGTTAGCAGCAGAGCTCTTAACCACTGCACTACCAGGGCTCCACAGAGAATGGAGGGGGATAATAAACAGAGAAAGGACTGTACCCCGTAGTGGACAGATAGATTAGTGTGTGATATCTCACCTGAGTGGTGGTGCCTGCTGGTGGACATATTGACCACAGTGTGTTCTTTGGTGTGTTTGGGAGACAATGATAATTGAAAATTGAGATCTGGAACTTTCAAATCCTCATTAAACAAGGGAGGGAGAAGGAGCTCTTACCGAGAGAGAGAGGCAAATGTAAGCAAAAGCAAAACGCTCAACCCACCTAAGAGTTTTTTGCAGAAAGTAATGTGGGCAAAAAACAGCAAATATGGGGGAGAACTGAGAAAATTAATGCTTCAAAAATTCCAGTGCCACCAACAAAAAATCACAAGACACACAAGTGAACATGATGAAGAGACAGAAAGTGCATCTATGGAAGACTGAATAATGAAAAGAATGGAAGAATATAATACAAACATGTTAAACATAATTAAAAAGTTAAGGGAAAACAAACCAAGATCTAAAAGAACTAAGGGAAACAATGCAAGAACAAAATGAAGATCCAAAAGAAGAGATAAAAAGAAACCCAGCAGAAATACTGCAACTGAAAGGGATAATAACTGGAATGAGAAACACAGTGGAAGGATTGAACAACAGATTTAATCAGGCAGAAGGAAGAATCAGCAGATTAGAGGTAAAACAGTTGAAATTACAGAGGCTGAAGAGCAATAAGAACAGAGGCTCAAGAAGGCTGAGCACAGTATAATGGAATTATGGACCAACATCAAGAGACCTAAAGTACACATCATTATTCCAGAAGAAGGTGAAAGAGAGAAAGGGACAGAAAGAATATTTAAAGAAATAATGACAGAAAATTTCCCCAATCTGATGAAAGACGTGAATCTACAAATTCAAGAAGTTCATAGAACTCCCAGCAGGATAAACTCAAAGAGATCTACACCAAGACACATCATAGTCAGGCTCTCAAAAAGTAAGGATAAAGCATCTAAGATACAACTATTGGTCTTTATTTGTCTGGAACAAAACAGAAAGGCTGTTTTGTCCATCGTCTCCTTCCACAGATGTAGTCGATTTGATTCCTGTGTATTCCATCTGGCGAG